ATTGACTGTATAATGCATCACCGAATCCTCCCAATAGCCCATTAGGAAAGTATTATCATTTCTGTTTTACCGATGAGAAAACTGAGGCTTTTTACTTCAGTAACGTGCACAAAGTCACACACTAAGAAGAGATATAAGTGAGATTTGATGCCAAATTTGTTTGGCATTAGAGACCAAACTTAAAACCTTTGAGAAGTATTGAATTAACAGAGGGTTCTATGCCCAGTAGAGCGCCAGTTGTCCGCCAACGAGGGGTGACTTCTGGAAGTGGTGGTAGGTCTAAGTTAGCCTTCCTCACTGTGGGAATTGAGAGCAGCTAAAGTGGGGTGAAAGTAGAGAAAACTGGAAGGCCGGGTGCGGTGGCTCACGCCTGTAATCCCAGCACTTTGGGAGGCGCAGATGGGAGGATTACCTGAGGTCAGGAGTTCAAGACCAGCCTGGCCAACATGGTGAAACCCCATCTCTACTAAAAATAGAAAATTAGCCGGCCATGGTGGTGGGCACCTGTAATACCAGCTACTTGGGAGGCTGAGGCAGGAGCCGGGGAGGCGGAGGATGCAGTGAGCTCTCACCGGGACTTTGCCCTTCAGCCTGGGTGACAAGAGTGAATCTCCTTAAAAAAAAATAAATAAATAAATAAATAAGGAAAAGAAACTGGAAAGTCCTTTGCTCTGGTGAGATCCCTCTCCGAAGAGGAGGGATCTATTCTCTTGCGGTTGGCTTAGGAGATTTGCCTGGAAACGGGAGGAAGCAGTGCGGTGGGAACAAAGCACTTTGGACTGGACTTCAGGAGACTGAATTTGTCTCTTCCCTCCAAGGGGGCGGGTCTGCTGGGCCTTCAAAGGCGCCGTCCCCTTTGGCCTTTCCGCAGGTGAGTTTGGTAGAGGTTCGGGCAGGTGGGGAGTTGAGGTGCTGCCTGTTCCCTCTGTTCTGGTCCATGACGCCCGGTGAAGCATCTCACCTGAAGCCTTGCGCAGTGCTCCGCCAGTGCTCTCTAATCCTGAGCCCAGCTATGGCTCCTCCTCCTCCTCCCTGCCTCGGGAACCCAGCACCCAGCGCTGCGGGGGCCCGGAGCTCACTCAGGCTGCGGGACTGGGGTCTGGCCCTGCCCAGCTCGTCGCCCACGCCCAGGCTTCTGTCTGGCCAGCAGGGGGACCCCGAGCCCCAGACAACAGCCCTGAGCTGCTTTGGGCTCCAGGTCCCGCTGCTCAGCAGATCCACCCTCCCCGCGCCCGCCCCCGCCCTGCCCCCAGCCTCAGTTTCCTCCTCTGCCAAATGGGAAAATCGTTATACTGAGTTCACCGGCAATGCTATGAGAGGTAAATGAGTTCTAAATCATAAATCGTTGTGAGACTTCCTTCTTGTACTCTTGAAGTGTATTACTCTGAACATTGAAATAGATGTTTCTTGAGCTCTATGCACTGGGAGCTGTTTTAAGCTCTGGATTAAGTCTGTCCAGCTTGGGCCAGGGATAGTGGTTGAAATAGAAAAGCTGTCAGTGAAGGGCGCCTCTGTCTCCCACCCCACTTGACAAGCTGGGTGGAGTGAGTGGCTTTTGTCTGTAGAGTGGACACCTCTAGAAGCTGCTGTTTGTTTTTCTGGTCTGGAATGTAGGACTTCGGGATGATCCCACAGAGGAGCAGGGAGCCCAGGCCATCCACTAGCTCTTCACCCTGACCTGAGGAAAATGCACTTAGTGCAAATCCCTTTCCATGCTCGCTGCTCTCTGAAGGGAATGTCTCTAGACTAGCACTTTGAGTTCTGCTTAACATCAGGGAATTGGGGCCAGGATAGATTGCAGCTGAGGGAATGGGCTGAAGCCGGAATCAGTGGCCAGGCCTGTGTGACCAGTTCTGATTCCTCAGTGTAATGAGTGAATGCTCCCTGGCTTCCATTGCTGCTGGGAGGGGCTTTACTCAGAGAAATACTGGGGTACTGGCTGAGGAGAGGGGCCATTTCATCCCCTCTTTTTACTGAGTGGAGCAAAAACTCATTCCTTCCAAGAAGTCTCTAGCTTCGGTCTAAGCCCTCACCCCCAGAACCTGGTTCATGAAGCACCTAATTGGGACTTCAGAAGAATGAGGTGATGGCTCACACTGAAGATATTGCTTTTCAGTTCCTCCTGTTTCTTTCCCTCAGTGGACTGCAGACTCTCTGAGTGGGCCATTGTGATGCACTGGAAAGGAACTTGGAGTGGAAATCAGGAGGCCTGAGCTCACATTTCAGACCCAGCACTCAGTGGCTCAGGCCTCTCCTTGAACCTCAGTGTTTTAATCTGTCAAAGGGAACCATAATCGCTTCCCACCCAGGTGGGGTGATGATGCAGGGGATAAATGTGAGACAGGGCCAGGCATGTGTTCTACCTTTCCTTCAGTCTGTATCTACCTAAGAAAAATGAAAACATATCCTCACACAAAAACTTGTACGTGGGCCGGGTGCAGTGGCCCACGCCTGTAATCCCAGCACTTTGGGTGGCAGAGGCAGGTGGATCACCTGAGGTCAGGAGTTTGAGACCAGCCTGGCCAACATCATGAAACCCCGTCTCTACTAAAAATACAAAAAATTAGCCGAGCGTGGTGGTGCACACCTGTAATCGCAGCTGCTCGGGAGGCTGAGGCAGGAGAACCACTTGAACCTGGGAAGTGGAGGTTGCAGTGAGCTGAGATTGCACCATTGCACTCCAGCCTGGGCAACAAGAGGGAGGGAAACTTCATCTCAAACAAAACAAAACAAAACAAAACAAACAAGCAAAAAAAAAAAACCCGAACAACTTGTACACAAATGTTTATTAGCAGCATTACTCACAATAGCCTGAAAGCAGAAACAATCTAAATGTCCATTAACTGATGAATGGGGAAACAAAATGTGGTGTATCCACAGGGTGGAATATTATTCAACCTTAAAAAAGAATGAAGTATGGATACATGCTACTAAGTGAAAGTAGCCAGATTGTGTATTTCATGTACTGTATGATTCCATTTATATGAAATGTCCTGAATAGGCAAATCCACGGAGGCAGAAAGTAAATTAGTGGTTGCCTAGGGCTGGGTGGTGGGGGGAAGGGTTGGGAAGTGACTACTGATGGGTGCAAAGCTTTTTCTGGGGGAGAGGGGATGAAAATGTTCTAAAATTAAATGATGATGATGGTTGCACAATTCCATAAATAACTCAAACCACTGAATTGTACACCTTAAATGGGTGAACTTTATATTATGTAAATTGTATCTCAATAAAGCTGTTAACATTTTTTAATTGGGTGTCCTGAATTTAATCTGGCAACTTTACTTCTGCCCATCCTCCCTTCTTTCTCCAGTCTTAACAGCCTTCTTCTCCCTTTTGGAACATGCAGCAGTGGGGGTATCTGACACCTCTTGATGGGTGGGGAGGAATAAGGGAGGCATTAGGACATCAGATACCAGGCTGCCTAACCTCCAACAGGCATCTCATGATCTCCCCTCAATTTCCTCTTCTGCTTAGTGATGGGAGGGGAAACAGAGGACTGCTTGGCCTTGCATCCTTGAAAGGGGTGTTGGAGGAGTCCAGGAAGAGGGGTGCATGTGCTGGGTGGGATGGGGAGGGCTGCACAGGGCAGCATGAGCACTTATGAGTCCGTCACATGGCAGATCTTCCAGACAGTGGAGGGGTGGCAGGTGGATTGCCCAGAGGCACCTCTTTGGCTGAGGACAGATCCAGAGAAGCCAAGAAATCCGTGACTGGTGCCCTGTGGGCTAGGGTTAGGGGTAGGGGCTGGGCCATAGGCTGTCATCTGAAGAGGAGTGGTGCTGGGATAAGGCTGAGTCTTTAACGGAGCTGCAGCATGGCTGGCCAACTGCTGACCTTGTATCAGGTGGGGGAGTGGAGGGGCTTCAAGAAAGGGCCGGGTTGTGGCTGAAGACCTGGGAGCCTCACCTCAGGACTCAGTGGTGTGGGGGGAGGGCTTGGAGCTGGTGAGGAGCTAGATACTTCTAGGTCTGGGGACACCCAGAGCTCCGTGCCCAGCCAGTTGTCATTAACTGCTTAGCTTCTTGGAGTCTGTGCTCAGCCTCATTTTCCTCTGATTCATCTCTTCCTTCCCACTGCTCCCATCCCTCAGGCTGTGAGCATGCTCAGAGCTCCCCGTCTAAAACCACCTTCTTTTTGACCACTCTCTTCTGCAGCTCACCATCTATCTTTTGTTCTCCTCCCTTGAAGCTCTTTCAAACTAGACTTGTCTGCACCCACAGCCTCCAGCTTGGCTGCCTGCTCCAGCATCAACCCTTGAGAGGCGCTCCGACTCTCCCATCGCTTGAAGCTTCTTTGAGGTCTGCACACCCTTCTTTTCACCAAATCCAACCACATTCCCCCTCAGACCTGTCACAGCTGCCCTTCAGCCCTCAGCCCTGAACCACTCAGCACCTCTGCTTCCTGAAACGTCTGGTAGCCTGCTCCTCCCCTCTGGCTGCCCTCCCTCTTGATTACTGTGGGTATAGCCCAGCTTCTCCCCAACCTCTTCTCTGCATCCTCTCCTGGGTGACCTCATCTCTCCCAGGACCTTGACTGTCACCTCCATTGTGATGACTCACCTCCAGCTTCGATGATCTCTTGGCCATTTCCAGAGGCTGCTGGACCCTTCCCACGGGCACAGCCATCCCATCCTGTCCAGGAGTGGACTTCGTATTCCACTCCCATCCCCCCAACCAGCCTCTCCATCAAATCGCTCTCACCCTTGTCAACATTTCCCTGGGAACCCAGCTTGAAATCAAGTCATCTTTGCCTCCTCGGTCCCCCTGCAGCTGTGCCCGGAAGTCCCCCCATGAGACATCTTTCCTGTCCATCTTCGTCTCTGTTCCCACTGCTTCCTCTTAGATTTAGCTTTTCATCATCTTTGACCACGACTGCTGCCTCTGGGAGATCTGCCTGCTCTCACCCTCTCCTCTACTCCGCACGGCGACTCGGATGATCTTCCTACAGCATCTTTCAGATCCTTCAGAAAATCCTCAAAAATCCTCAAAAGCTTCCCATTACCAACAGAGCAGACTGTGTATTTGTCTAGTAATTTATAACCTAAAAAGTACTTTCACATGAAGTCAAAGAGGTAATGTTCTTTTATGTATAAGAGAACTGAGGCTCAGGGAGATGTGGGGGTTGGTCGGGCTTTCCTCAGTGCTACAGGGCAGATCTAGGGCTGGGCGAAGGCCTTCTGTGGGTGAGGCCTTTAAGTGGGTGAATCACCCACTACAGTCCTTTCAGCCTGCCCTTGGGGCCTCAGCAACGTGGCCCCTAGTTGTCACTCTGATGCTCATCCTGGGGCCAGTCAAGCCCTTGGTCTTGCCCACAACATGCCACGCAATTTCCCACACCCCTTGCTCAGGCTGTTCGTCCCCTCTCTGCCCACAAAGTCCTCCTCCTGGCCACCAGCCCATCTCTGCAAGCACAGAGCATCCGGCACCTCCTCCAAGGCCCAGGCTATGTGTTGCTTTCTCCAGAATCCTCCCCAGCCCCTGCCAGCCAGTATGGTCCTCTCGTGTCCAGGACCCCTTGGACACACCGCCGGGAACTCCAGCTGATTCTGGGCAGAGATTGATCCAGCCGGGCTTGCAACCCCCATGCTTGCAGCTCCTGAGGGGCATCTTCATAGTAGTCCTCCACAACTGCCAAAGAAATAAATGATGGATGGGGCTGCCCGAGACTCTCCTCCTTGAGGAAGCCCTTTCAGACCAATTGGCCAGCAGTTCCAATCGCCTCCCGAGCATCACACACACCTCCATGAGTAAACACACCACACCTGGCTCAGGCCTCAGATGGTGCAGCTTCTAGTGTCAGTTTCTGCCACATGGCTTCCCTTGAACCTCTCTCATCTGTGACCAGGGACTAACTAATAACACCTGCTTTGCCATCTCTCTGGTGTGTAGTGAGCAGTCAATGGGATACTGTCTGTGGGAATTTCTGTATTTTTATTATAGCAACAAGAATGAGCTTGAAGGGAATTCTTTTAAAATCATGAAACTTCTGTGCATCTGTGAGGGGCTTTTATAATTATATACATGTGTGTCCACCTAACATTGCCTCCCTCTGCTGTAAGGTGGGGAGGGTGTGAAAGCCCAGAACCCTCACTGATCAGGTTCTAAGATTCAAGTGCTGGTGCTAGAGAGATTCTCCAGGGATTCCCTGAGGGATAGGTGGGACCTGGGTTCAAAAGGAGGCTTACCTCCGGGACCCTCCCGGGCACCAAGCCCTGCTCCTGATGGCTCCGTGGGTATGGCCAAGTTCATTCCTTCTCTGGGTCTCAGTTTCCTTATCTGGAGGGTTTGGGTTAAAGCTCAGATTTTCACTTTTTTTTTTTTGAGCCACAAAGCTAATAAAATCTTATGTTCAAAGAAAGTCGTATACCAGGAACCCATATATGAAATAATCAGAGCTGCCTCATCTAAAACAGAGCCCCCGAGCCCTTACCCTCCTTCCCAGCCTCAGAAGACCTGAGGCTCCTCTGTGGAGCCCTATGGGGTCCTTAGTGTATCAAGACCCAGAAAACATGTCCTGATCCTCGCTGGAGGGACTGTGTATTGGGGGTCCTTTGTGCTGTCCCTACCTAAATGTGAACTCTCTGGAGACTGCAGGAGACAATATGGCTTTCTTACACCTCTACCTCCAATGCTCAACTCACTGTCTGATACATACAAGGGGCTCAAGAAATGTTTACCCAACAGAATAAATGAATGAATGGTGATGAGGTCAGAAAAGAAATGTGAACGACAACCTTGTTTTAGGAGGTAGGAAAAATTCCATGCTGTCTGGAGGAACAGGGACTAAATGGCCTTGACCTACCCCATGCCCGCCTCCCCCTCACAAACACACAGGGAAACAGGCAGGCTGTGTTCTTCTTGTAGGCCCAGTATCTGGCCCAGAGAAGTCCTGACTGGGGAGAAGTGAGCTGGAAGGAGGGAGAAGGAAGCAGAGAGACTCAGACTGCAAATCTGAGCAGAAGGAGGGTGGTAGAAAAGGAGAGGAAGGGACTTCCAGGAAGTCACTGCGGGGGCAGGCAGACATGGTTTTGGGCCCTCAAAGGAAGGGCTAAGGTCTTTCCTGACATCCAGGAGTCTTTTTCTCCCAACTGCCTGCTCTTATCCAACAGTTCCCCTCCATGTGCACACACTGGGCAGAGCAATGCTGAAAAAACAAGGCAGGGACCAAAATATCCTTCTGCCTGCTGGAAACGACAGAGGAAAATTCTAAAACCTCCTCCGATCCCCAAGCTCTCCCCATAGGGCTGAGCCAAGCTCTGACAGCCCCTACCTTTTGCCTTCCCTTCTGGGCTCCCGAGAGGTGTGCTGGGATACTTCATCCTTCGTGGGCAGTCCTTCCTGACCAGGGGAGTCTAGTCCAATTTGGAGACTTCCAGGGAGAAGAGAGCAGGGCTGCTCAGCATAGTTCCCCTCACCCAGGAGTCCCTCCCCTGCAGCCCTCCATCTTCCCCACTCACCCCTGCCCACAGTAAGGAGGCTGCAGGTGGAAGGGGCCAGTGGAGAAACCCATGATGGTGGCTTAGGAAGGAAAGAAGTAGGACCAAGAGGTAAAAGGACCCCAGGGGATCTTTACACTTACTGTGGCATTATCTCACCCCCGGAGTCACAGGTAAAATAGAAGCTTTGGACACATTGTGAAAGCCAGAGAGTTATGGCTTCACCTGTTTGCCTACAGCCTTCCTCATTGTCCTTTCCTGGTTATAGACCTGTGACCTTGCCTCTCCCTCTACTTGCCTCCATCATAAACTTCCCCTCCTCTCAGCCCTGGTATCTGCCCATCATGGGGGAGCCTGGACTTAGAACGTTTCCAGGTGGAAGGACCGAGTTCTGTGGTCTCCATCTCAGCCCATCTCTCCCACCTTGGAATGGACTTACCAGCTGTTGGTGTAAGATGGGTAAACTGAGTCCAGGAGAGGAAAAGTGACCTGCTTGAGCTCACACAGACAGTGAGCGGCAGAGTAGAGACTAGAAGCAAGCTCCAGCTCTTCTGACTTTGGTCAAATGTTCTTTTCACCACACCAAATGGCCCTGCTGCACAGGCGATCCCAGCACTAACCCTCCCACCTCCGTTTCAAGCCAGAGGATGGAGGAGACCATGTGCTTCTCCCAAGGCAGCTCTCTGGAATAGACCCTGCCTTGCCCACTTCTGCTGTCAAATAGGCTGGTCTAATCCCTGAGGCCTGGGAACAGGCAGGGGTGGAAGGATGGAGAAGCGAGGGGAAGAAAGTTTTGGCTTATTTTGCCCATAACTGAGAAACAAACAAACTACCTACACGCATTATGCAAATGCATCCACTACATGTCAGCGACCTGTAGTAAGACATTGGAGGAGGGAGTGTATGCATGTGGGTGGTGGGGGTGGGCATTCAGGTGCCCTTCAGAGCTGAAGATGCTGCCCATGGTTAGAGGGGAAGACCCCACTCACCTACCCCTGTCCCCAAGCTGGGTCCATTTGGGTCTTTGCAGGCTCTTCTGACATCTAGATGAGTGACCATTGGGAAGCTGAGTGTAAACTGAGAGAGAAAGCCTTGAGCCAAAAATGGCTTAAGCCAAGGGAAGGGCGGAGAGGCAGGGGATGGTGGAAAAGACCTTCATGTCTGGCTGGCAGGCAAAACGGGCAGAATGTCAGGTGCTGCTGGGCGTGTTGACAAAGTCAGCAGGGGAAGTGGAGGGGGGTGAGGAGGAAGAGGAGTTTACACTTCCCAATTTCTCCAAGTAGCTTCTAGGGAAGGAATGTGATTTTGTTGTCTGAGGCACTGAGTCCTTGCTCCCCCTAAAGGCAGAAATGGAAGTTATCTTTCCCCACAGAGGACTTTTCCCTCCTCCTCAGAAGACTCAACTGCCCTTCCTCCCCGCCTCCCAGCTACCCAGCTTCCAGGTCCCACCTCATTCCTCAGGGTGATTCAGTGCAGCCCCCAGCAGAAGCAACGTACTCACCCTCCTCTGGGCAGAACCCTTTTCCTTGCATTCTGTGATCCAATGAGGGGCAAGGACCTCCAGAGGCCGGGTTGGGTTGTGGCTAGGTAACATTGGGGTCCCCAGCCTAACTCTCTTTGCCCTCCTAGGACCCTTGCCCAATACCGACAAAAAGGATTTCTCAGGTTGGGATCTCTATGAGACATTCATCTGTTTCCAGGGTCTGGTCATTAGTTAATACCAGTGCACTGCCTAAACCGAAACTGGCAGAAGGTGGCCAGGGGAGGAGTCTGGACAGTGGAGAGAGTCAGGAGCCTGGGTTTCGTATTTTGTTAGGCAAGTCCTGTTAGGATTTGCCCTGTGACCTTTCGAAGTCCCTTCCTTCCCTGAGCCTGCTTCTTTATCTATAACATGAGGGGATTGAACTGGATGCCTTATGGCTTAGCGCTGTGCTACGAAGAGGGAGGAGGAAGGAAAAGGAGCGCAGGGCCGGTGACACTGACAGGCGATCCGGGGAGGCTGGGTCACTTCCCGGAGCCTCAGCATCCTCATCTGCAAAATGGAAATTGCTAATAGACTAAAAGGCAGTTCTGAAAGATGGATGAGAAAGGAATATAATGACTCAGGGTAGAGTCTGCAAAACAATGCGGGATGAGAAGATGCAAGGACTGGTTTCATGGAGAGAGCAGGGTTTTAGGATTGGGGGAGGGTGCCGGGGCTACCAACTAACTGCTTTGGGAGATCCCACAGGGGGCATTCTGAAGTCCTGCAGAAGAGATGCTTTGCCGTGAGGGGTGAGGGGTTGCTGGAGGCCAGACCAGGGCTCCCAGGAGTCCTGCATTGAGAAGGGAGAAAGTGGACACAGGAAGGCTGCGCCTCTGTCCAATCCTGAGGCTGGGCGCACACACCAGGCCCTTCGAAAAGATCACATTTTTCCAGCTTTTCTCACCCAGTAACACTTCCTTTGTTAAGAGGAGGGGGTGGGGGAGGAGACGGAGGATGAGGAGGGAGGGGCCCGCGAGTGCCGCCGCCGCCCCCGTCCTCTCCCGGTGTGCGGAGCCCGATTGTCACTCAGCTCCCGCGCCGGGGGCGACAGAGGCGCCGGCGCCCGAGTCGAGTCCCAGCCAACTACCATCCCTCTAGACCTTACAGGCCGGCCTTGGCTTCCCCAGGAATCCCTGGAGCGAGCGACTGCTGAAGGGGGCACTTGGACAGTACGGCTCAGGTAGCCGGGAGCTCCGCCAGCTTTGGTGACCTTGGGTAAGTCTGAGCCTTGGTTCGTCCCTTGGGCTCCCCAAGGCGGGTGCAGGCGAGAGCTGAAAGAAGAGACTGCAATGCCCCCTTGGGGCAGGCCATGGGCAAGGGTACCCGACAGAGCTGGAGCGGGACCAGGGGACTGCTAAGATCCAGGCACCAGACGCGTCTCAAGTGGGTGGGCGCAGGGTAGGTGCGCGCACGCTGGGTTATAGGGAGCGACGCCCCAGTCTGTTCCTCGGCTGTCCCTAGACCCGCGTCTGCCACCCCAGTCCCAGGTGCGAATCAGGGGCGCTACCTCTTTAAAAGCGTCCGGGGTGAGTCTCTGCAGCACCATGTGATTGCTTGAAAGGCCGGGCTGGGAGCGCTGCGGCGGGAGCCCGAGGACTGTGAGCTGCCGCGCGGTGTCCAGAACCCAGCCCAGCCCTACCGCGCGCGGCCCCGAGCTCTGCTGCCCGGAACTTTGGGCACTGCCTCTGGGACCCCTGCCGGCCAGCAGGCAGGATGGTGAGCTCCCTGCATCCTGTGCACAGGGGTGGGCAGAGCCAGGCATGGAAGACCCGTGTGTGTGTGTGTGTGTGTGTGTGTGTGTGCGCGCGCGCGCGCGCTGGGAGCTGCCTCACACCTGATAAAAAAGCCAGTGGAGGAGTGAGCGCTGCTATTTTAAGTTGCTGAATGGAACCTGTGGGGACGATAAAGGGAAGGGACAAAGATTAGGCAGAGAAGGGGCCAGGTGCCCCTCCAGCCTGGGCAGGAGCTGCATGTGCCAAGTGGGACACGTCTCCGCGGGTTACCTAGAGTTCCAGGGCAGCCTGGGCTCCCTGCCCTGCCAGACGGGCCTCCCCATCCCAGGCTTCCCTGACCACACAGGTGCTTGCCTCGTGCCCTTTGGTGCCCGTCTGCTGATGTTCCCAGCCTGTCCCCGCCATGCCGCCCTCCATCTCAGCCTTCCAGGCCGCCTACATCGGCATCGAGGTGCTCATCGCCCTGGTCTCTGTGCCCGGGAACGTGCTGGTGATCTGGGCGGTGAAGGTGAACCAGGCGCTGCGGGATGCCACCTTCTGCTTCATCGTGTCGCTGGCGGTGGCTGATGTGGCCGTGGGTGCCCTGGTCATCCCCCTTGCCATCCTCATCAACATTGGGCCACAGACCTACTTCCACACCTGCCTCATGGTTGCCTGTCCAGTCCTCATCCTCACCCAGAGCTCCATCCTGGCTTTGCTGGCAATTGCTGTGGACCGCTACCTCCGGGTCAAGATCCCTCTCCGGTGAGTCCACAGCCGCTGAAGGTACTCGCAGCACCGCATGATGGCTGGCTTGAGGGCCATCTAGAAAGGATAAAAGGTAGAGCATAAGACCCCAAGTAAGCCAGTTGTTCTTTGGGCCATTATGCTCCAGTCCTCACTCAGGCTTCCTGTGCTCTGCTCTGCCGTGCCAGAGAAAATGGGAGGGGGATGGGTGGCTGGAGGACTGGGCTGTGAACTTGCCAGTGCCCATGACCTCAGAGCTGACGCTCCTGCAGCCAGGGAACCTGAGGCTGCCTGTCAGGCCTGGGGTGGAGGTGGGAGATTTGGAGGGGCCACGAAGACAGCATCACAGTGAGTGCTGGGTAGGAATGAGCTGAGCTCTGCCAGTCCCAGGGAAGAGGATGAGGCAGAGAAGAGAGTTAGGGTGGGGTGAGGACATACTGAGGGGGGCACAATGGGCAGGAGTGCTGCTTCTCCAGCTAGATCCCAGAAGGGTTCCTGAAGGCACGCTTTGGCTCTCTTGTTCACCAGGTATCTCTGTGCTAGCTAGCTGTCCCTTCCAAGGTTTTCCTGCTGAACCCAACTGTCTGATTACCTTTGCCTCACTCCCACTTGTGGGATCTCTGTTACAGACAGGAGGAAGGAAAAATGCTGGTGCCTACTCTTAATATTCCTGATCTGCTGCACAACCGTGTCTGCTGGTCACAGCAGAAGTGCTCATGCCGCTCCGAGGCAGCACTGAGATGGGTGGCCTGATGATGCAGTCCTCAGTGTGGGGTCCAGTCCATGTTGGGGCTCCCTGCTTGGAGCTGCCAGACCATAATCTCATCACCAGGCAGTGCCTTGGGCTACCAAGCGCCAGGGAGCGCCTGGGCATATTTCCAGGGATTGGCCCTGCTGGGATGCTCTTACGAGGCATGTTTGCCCCCTCTTTGAATTCTTGCCCCAGTAGATTTCTGTTCTCTGGGGGTGCTCTGGACGTGTCCAGCACCTGCTATCCCCAGCATAGCTTCTCTGGGATGTGGGACCTCTGACCTCACTTGGCACCTTGCCCGAGCAGGCCTGGGCACCATGTTTCTCCCTTTGTGTTACATTTGCACGCATTTAACTTTTCAAAGCCTTTCTTCATGCATGAATTTTTCCCATTATCATGCTGCTGTGAGGGAGGTGGAGCAGGAGCTTTTAAAGGGGAAACTAAGACTCAGAGGGTCTCCTTGAAGCTCATTGGGAGAGAAGTGTGATCTAATCATCTGCCTTCCTTCCTGATTCCCCCATGCCCACCAGCTTGATGCCAGTCTCTCTGCCCTGTCTACCTCCTCTGCCCTCCAGGTTTCCCAGGGCAGGTGGGGTGAAGAAGGAAATGCCACCAGAAGCCCCATAGGCTTATCCACTGAGGGGCCTACGTGCTGCCATTAGTCCCAGGTTGCTGCTGGGCTGCAGAGATAAAGCTGGTCTCAGTGCATTAGAAGAATAGGGCCTCTGAGCCTGGCCATTATAACGAAGTGTTGCCACATTTGGAAACTCACGCAGATGTGCAGCTAGCTGTAGGAAGGCTGCTGGAGAAATTCTGTCTGCTGAGTGGGTGCCAACATGGGCCAAAGGTCCTGTCTCTCTGTGACAGAATGTGCCCTACTTGCCCTGTGGGGCTGGAATGGCTGTGGGGGTGGGAACAGTAGGCTTATTCCTTCAGGAGGCAGCTGCTGTGGCTTTGGAGCTGGGGTCCTGAGGAGCTGTCCTCTGAGGGTGGAGGCAGGGGCCTGCACAGACGCTGCCATGGGCCTGAGTTCAAATCCTTGTTGGGAATTTCTAGCTGTGCAATCTTGGGAAAGTCATTTAACCACTTTCAGCTTTAATTTCCTTATTTATAAAAGGCAACATTAATAATAGTACCTACTCCCTACGGTTACTGGAAGAATGTAATGAACTCGTATACACGAAGCACTTGTATTAATATTATGCCTTATATATTATATGCAAGCCATAGGAAGGTCTTATTTGTAGTTTTATTGTCATGATTAACATATGGCTCAAGTGTGGCTGGATAGGCAAGCCCTACTCCCACCACTCATGCTCTTAGGTGTCATTCGGTGTCAACACACACACACGAAGAAACACACACACAAACACATACACAACACATCTCCAAGGAGGGGCTAAAGTGCTGTTAAGTTGTATCTATACATGTCTCTACTCCTCTGGTGGAGTGTTGATGCCTCAAGGCAGTAACCACCTCTTACCAGTTTCTGCAAATTCTTCAGAATGCCCAGCTTAGTGTCTGGCACATCACAGACCCTCAGCAAACATTGATTGAATTGGCCAGGTTTCCGGAGCACATACAGTTGACCTTCAAGCAGACCTTCCAGAAGTCTAACCTCTCACTTTCTTGCTGTGGACTAGACCTGTCCCTGCTTCTGCCTCAGGGCCTTGATCACAGATGCCCCCACCGGCTCAGTGTGGCTCCTTGACAGCCACACACCAGCAGTGCCCAGGAGTGTCCTGCCCCATGGAGAGGAGCTTTTCTCCTGAGTTATGGAAAGGCTGCTGGGGCCTCACTTCTCAAACAGGGATCCTGGCTGACGTGTTGGGCCCCTCTGGGCTCCTGCATGTCACTGCCCAAGTACCCTACAAGAGGAACACTTTGCTCTGCTCCCTTCTATGTGGCTAGAGTCAGCAGGTTGCTAGGCCTATGAAACCTCTCTTGGCCAGGGGTCCCTGGGCACCAGCCTTCTGCCCTGACATGGCAGTCAAAGGTAGATGTGGTGCCAGGCAGAGAAAGTCATACTGATCAAGCATTGGGGAGGCATGTCTGGGGCACCCAGATACAGGTGTCTACTGGCCCTCACCAAGTGGGGCATGGTTTGATCAGTCAACCACAAATTTTATTTCTTTCTACTTGGCAGAAAACCAAGAGAGAAAAGATTCACACCATATAATATGATCTAGTTACAAACTTTTTTTTTAAAGTTCAAATTGTTGATTCATCAGTAACCTGTGGTCATTTGCATATGCTTTGCATGCTATTTGCATAGCACCTCCAACACCTTGGTAATTGAAACGCTATTCCCTTCAGCTCCTAGTTCTAGGGAATCTCTATCATTTGCCACCTACCCCCTCACCTGGAGCTTTCTTGGTGGCACTCTGGCAATTTGGTGCTTCTCCTGGGGGCTAGTTGTAGGGAAAGGTGCTAACAGAGGGCTCCCTGACCAAACCTTTCTGTGGGAAGGAGACCCTAGCAAAGGGGCCATACATGGCCAGCTGGGTTGGAGTGGAGTGGAGAGGTGGTGGGTGTTTGCGCGTCAGGCAGACCTGAGCTTGAACCTTGCTTTGTTACTAATTAGCTGTGCAACTTTGCTAAGTTATTCAGCCTCTCTGAGCCTTTCCCCTTCACCATATGTTAAATGAAGGGGTTGGAGGTGGGGCATGGTGGCTCATGCCTATAATCCCAGCACTTTGGGAGGCCAAGATGGGTGGATCATTTGAGACTAGGAGTTCAAGATCAGCCTGGACAACATGGTGAAACTCCATCTCTACTAAAAATTAAAAAAGAAAAATAAATAGCTGGGTGTGGTGGCACACACCTGTAATCCCAGCTACATGGGAGGCTGAGGCAGGAGGATTGCTTGGATCTGGGAGGCAGATATTGCAGTGAGCCGAGATCACGCCACTGTACTTCAGCCTGGGCAACAGAGCAAGACTCTGTCTCAATATAAATGAATAAAAAGAAATAGATGAAGGGGTTGGATTTGAGTTCTTTGAGGTTCCTTGCAGGAATAATTCTGTGGTTTTCCTTATCCTGACTCCTGTCAGTGCTATGCTGGGATCGCGGGACGGTTGTGTTGTGTTGTGTGTTTTAGCTCCTAGTGATGTGCGCTAGGAACAATGCTATGTTTTTAATATACTTTACCTCATTCAACGTTCACAGTCTCTCACTAGTAGAGCTTATTGTTACCCCCATTCTACAGGCAATTATTATTTTTTTTTTTTGAGAGAGAGTCTTGCTCTGTTGCCCAGGTTGGAGTGCAGTGGGGTGATCTCAGCTCACTGCAACCTCCAACTCCCGGGTTCAAGCGATTCTCCTGCCTCAGCCTCCTGAGTAGCTAGATTACAGGTGCGCACCACCAACCCCAGCTCATTTTTTGTATTTTTTGTAGAGACAGGGTTTTACCATGTTGGCAGGCTGGTCTTGAACTCTTGACCTCAGGTGATCCACCCACCTTGGCTTCCCAAAGTGCTGGGGATACAGGCATGAGCCGCTGTGCTTGGCCTCTCTATAAGACAATTCTTTAGCTAAATTGAGGGCTGAGGCTTGGGGAATTTCAGTTACTTGCCCAAACAGCTCGTCAGGGGCAGAAACAGGATTTGACTCTAGGCCTAACAGAGGCCTTTAACCAGTAAGCCCATGTGTATCTTGCATCAGCCCAAGAAGCTGTAGAATTTTTAGAGGAGTTTCCATGAAGCTGTCAGTAGGGTGATTTTTCTCCTCTGATGTTTGCCAATGGCCTCTGCACTCTGCTCAGCCCCCGCCCAGCATCTTCCCCTCCCTCCACCTTCATTCCAGTGGGCAGTCGAGCCCCTGGCAGTCCTGCCTCTGTCCACAGCTGGAAGCTTGCCCCACTGGCCTGCTGACCCGGGGAAACACAGCAAGGACTGGAGGAGCTTGGCTTGCTGAGCCAGAGCTGGAGCGGGAAAGAAATCTTGTAAATTAGGGCTCGTTCGCTTTTAGGCACCTATTTAGCTCTCCCACCGTGGCTAGCCTGGGCTTTTCTTGGCAACCCTAAAGTGACTTGTGTGCCGTCACGCCCTCGCAGGTAACTGTCTGTGGCTTCTGGGTCCCAGAACAGTTGATCTCAGGTCATGCCATCTACTTTCAGAGAGGTAGGCCGTTTTCAGATCCTGTGTCTAAGGCTGGATTAGTCATAGCCTAGAGTGTCTGAGAGGGAAGAGGAGTTCGAGGAAGCCCTGAAGCCCAAACTTTCACACTTGTGGAACTGAGGAGGAAACCGAGGCTGGGGAGAGGAGGAGCTTATGCAAGATCACTTGGCTGGGAGTTCTCCCCTCCTCCCATCTGGATGCTTGCTTCCCTGCCTTGGATGTAAAAAGCTTGAGCAGAGAGCTCTTTGCAGTCACCCATCCCTGAAGGAACAGAAAAAGAAAACGCAGCCTCAGTGGGTTAAGTCAGCAGATCCGTGGCAGGCTTAGAGGGGAATGAGATGGAGGGAAGTTGCTTTGTGATTGAAAAGATAATTTCTCTGAATTAGGGATGGCCTTCAGGTGGGTTAGGCAGAGCAGCTTGCTGGGCCAGGGGGAACATGGCCTTTAGTTGAAGAGGCGTCTGGACTCCTTTCAAGTGTGAAAGCTTCCCCC